AAGTCTGCAAGCATGCTTCTGGGCAACTCCATTTGCCCTCCCATGCCCAGATCTGAAACCCAAACCCACTCACAACCTAAATCTCAAAATCCAACCACCAAAATCCGAAAAAAAAAAAAAAAAAAAAAGAACAAAAAAAACAATAAGATCAACAATCTCAATAGAAAAATTCTACTTATTTTCAAAAATTCCCATAAAGGTTCCCTTTTCTCCAGAAAATTCCGAAGAGAAATGGATAGAAAAGGGGAGAGAGTTAGGGACGAAGAGAGATTAAGAGACAGAGAGGGAGGAGAAGGTAGCTTTGGGGACGATTTTGTAGGAAACTTGGTTTTGAAGCTTTTTGCAGGAAAAAAATGGGAGGAAAGGAAGTATTGGGGACGGAACCAAAGAAGAACAAAGTTGAATTAATACTAAAATATTAGTAGATATATATTAAATAATATGATATTATAATTTGTTATTTTATCCAGTTTTTTAGTCCGATAATGCACCAAACGCTTCACTAAGTTAGTCAAGTTTAGTCTAGTCTAAGCCAGTCCAGCTTAGTTCCTGAAACTAGTCCAGTCCGAGATAGTCCGGTGTAACAAACGCACCCATAAGGTTTTCTAAAGACAGCCGATGTAGTAAGATAAATTTGAAATTAAACTTTTGTGGTGAAGTTTGTTAGGATTCATGGCGAGAATTGAAACAGTCATTGTTCCTCTGTTAATAGCCTACACATGACTTCAACACAAAGGTTTAATTCTGATTTTTATTACCATAGAAATTTATCTTCTGAATAACTTATGACTATGGGGAACATTTATATAATTCAGCTTCCAATTTAATGGACAATTTTTCTATCAACGGAATTTTTTAGTTTTATACAAATGGAAAGGGATGCTCTCCGGATCCCTCCACCAAATCCACCAAATCAAGGGATTCGGGTCCTTGAAATTTGATCGAATGACTAAAGTTATTATAACTTTAAAGGGGCCCCCTGTTTGTAGCCGTTAGATCAAATTTTAAGGGCCCGAATCCCTCGATTTGGTGGATTTAGTGGAAGATATCTGGAGAGAATCCCTTCCCTGTACAAATGATATGAGAAGAGGAAGAATTAAACTCGAGTACAAGAATGCACACTCTTAATCATTGAAGCTACAAGACCGTTCTTTTTGTGAGTGTTAGGATGATATTTTACACATATTTTGTACCCTATTTGTCTATTATGCAGTCATGATCATGCATTTAACTGTTGAGTTTAATGCACTTTGTGTATGTATTGTAGGAACTACGGTTTTGAGAACAAAAGATGGGATTAAACGCCTAAATACAAGAAAACCCGTCGATTGCCAAGTTAGACTGTGGTATTATTTTGGGCTGGAGAAATAAGAGACAAATTATGAAGTTGGACCGGTCAAAGCTTCAAATAGTTGGCCCAATGGAATGGACTTATGCAAGATGGTCCAAGGAGGCTGCGACAAAAATAAAGGAATAGAAGGAACACAGCGCAGACACATACCTAAGCGAAGAGAAAGAAGAAGCAATTGGAGAATTCTTGCTTTGCCGTGGAGTGGAGAATGGAATTTCGGTTGTTTCCTTCTTTGTTTTCGAATTCTAGCATGGTGTATTTTAATTCGATGGTGAACTGCTAGGACTAGTGTGTACTCTTATCATGAACATATAATTCTCGTTATTATATATTAATCTCAGTTATTTTTCATGTTGAATAATTGTTATTGTTCTTTATCGTTATCAAATAACTGGCCATTATTTGTGTGAAGAACTAAATCGTGACTGACAAGTTGAGTTTAGTAGATAGCTTCTCATAGCAATTACCATGAATTACATAATTAAGTAGACATAATGGTTATAATTTGTGTAGTATCCTGTAATTATCCATTTAGCGTAAAGGGTTTCGATTATCTATATCTGTGACTAGACATAGCATGGGTAGATAGTTAGAAACACGGTTAGTATATTCTGACAGGAAATATTGACGATTCAAGGGATAATTGCTAGCAACATAGGAATAATTTGATGTTAATATGAATAACGGTTTATATGGGATTGAGAATGAGGAGACCGATGTCCTAGTGCTTCCATATAATAATCTTTTATAATTCATTCACTTTTACTTCGTGTTCAATCAATTGTTATTTTTACTTTCGTTTCGTTTCTTTATATATTTGAATTTATCGACGTAATCTTTCTTTTATTTAAGTTTAGTTTGAAATCAATCTCAATAGTAAATTTAAGTTAATCCGATCCTTATTTGAACGGCATTTTACTTATCATTATATTACTTGGACAATATTATTCACTTGTAATTATCAACAACATTGAGTAAGTTGAATGAACGTAACATTTTAATATTTTGGCAGCGTTGGCACAAGTTCCTTACTTCATTATGCAAAGAGGTGCAGTTGACGTCTGCAAGAGAGAAGAAAGAAGGCAAAAAGAAAGAAAGTAGTTAATTATTACCAAGATTCACTGAACAGATTGACTTTTTGAATCTATCAGTACTTGTACTACATTGCCAGACTCTGACATTCTGCATAGACATTTTTAGCCAGTAACACTATTTCCAGATAAATTTATAAGAAAATTAATAAAAAGGATTAGAAAACTTAGAGTTTTAATGATAAAGATAAAATAAAGGGTAAAGTAAATAGTATCAGAATTGACTTTTTAGTGTAAAAATATGGGTTTTCGTTAAGGTGAATAGTACCGTAGGCTTTTCGTTAAAACTCCCTAAATTAATTCTTCTGCTACTTCTGGTTATGAAAATTCATGTGGCATGTGAGGGATTTTATCACGATCTAGCATAGTATATAAAAAAATCATCACCGGTTGGTCCTGTGGTTGAGGATGAATTTCAAGCTTATATTTTACACGGTATGTTCTAAGTTCGATTTCTGGTGCTGGTGAATCGCATGATGATAGCTAGTGGCATATTAAAATACTTCTGTGAGTCTTTTCGGTCCTCAAAAAGATGGATTGCCATATCAAAGCCACACATTGATCCCATTTAAAAAAAAAAATAAAAAAGCTCAGTGCATAAAATGTTTTTGGTCTTAACCCAAATAACTATATATTGTACATTGTAATTTGCTAACAAAACATAAAAAACATTGGAGGGTTGATACAACTTCAATCATGATGTATAGAAAAAAGGTCAATGATCACACTAATTATATCATAAATGTTAATACCACACCTAACTTCTTAGTTAAATAGTTGAAGAGGCACCATGTGATCCCTTTGTACCTATCAATCCCCATCCGCCCCACCTACATGTTGCACTCCCCTTCTTTACAAAATTTAGAGGGTGCCACAACCAACATTGGTCACTGTCTTTGCCATTGAAAAAAGTTCTCCTATCACTTGGTACAATACTTTAAGTTTAAGGTAAACTCTTTGACACATGTAAAAGGGTTTACATGATCCTTCATTATGAGAGTTGATAGACTTGATAATTTTTTATACGATCCGTTAATACGATACAAAAATGCCATAAAATAAAGAGTTTTGGGTCAATATGATAACTAATCGGATTGTTATTTAGTCATCCGTAAAAAACCTATTAATAACAAGTCGTTAACGGGTTTACACGCAAGTAACCCATTTCAACCCATTAAGAAAAAAATTATTTTGATGATTTTAAAGTTAAACTACTAAAAAAAACTTACTATAAATACAGTAGTCATATAGTCATAGTGTATATATTGTATATTAAATATGTATTATTGTATTATTATTATTATTATTATTATTATTATTATTATTATTCTATATAAGTTTTTAAAAAATTAAGTTTTATTTATTTATTTTTATCATAAGAGTTTCTTATTATCATTACTGAGATAAAATTTACTTGACTTGTTGTCCAAAATTCAAATCAACTAGTATTGTATATTTTTTGTCAAAACTAATATTGTAAACGACCTAACAAAGATTTTTGCTCTCTCTCTCATACAATCATACTCATGCATATTATACCCTCTTAAAAGTGAGCTTAAAGCATTATAAAAACATTAAAAAATAAAAATATCAAAGTAATTTAAAATTACCAAACACATTAAAAAAAATTATAATAACTAATTTATAAGTGCGAATACTAAGGCTTTTTCATTAGGCTCTTATTTTGGGATATGGAAGGGATGATGTGGTATGTATATACCCATATAGTATTAAGTTTTTCATTTGATTATTTATTTGTTTAAATATATTTTATTTAACGAGTAACGAGTCAGGTCATATTATCCATTAACGTTAATGTGTCGAGTTCGGGTCATGTCATATTACTCGTTCATTTTAACAGGTGTTACACAACAAGATCCGTTAATATATTGAGTACGACACGAAAACGATACGCACACAAGAAATACAACATAAATGCCAGGCCTAAGAGTTGAGCTTGTTATTTTGAAACAATGTGGAAGGTTAGATATATAGGCATCACCTTATTTATCACAGTTAGATGAGTTTGAATTTCGAGATTCGTGTAGTAGATAGACACAAATCTCAAAATTCAAACTCATTTAACGGTGATAAATAGGTTAGTGAGCATTACCACCACTTGAGGGTGATGAGCAAAATTTGTACTCTATAGACACTACTTCTACTTGAATTAACCTACTTTAGCCTCAAATTAGACTAAACTGTCATCCCAACAGCCTAACTCAAGTTTCCACGCCAAGTTACTCTGTCACCCTGGTTCCGTCATTAGTCGGTGGGTTGACTGGTGTACATTCACATTTTAAATCATGTTTTGACGAGTTGATCGAAATTTAACTCAACTTTGTTTACGCTAAACTGAAAAGAAATTATGCTAGTTGTCAATTAACTATCAAATTTACAACTCGTTACATACTCATGTTCTTACTAATAAGCAATGGTTTTTGCAGGTTCTTTGGTCACATCGGCAGAAATGGATAGGAACACAAATACAATGTGGATTTGCCCCAAACTTAGGCAAACGATCGTATAAAGTTGATTAGCCCCATTACCATTGAATTAAAGAACAAAAAGATGATGTTTCTTTGTGTAATCGGCGCCCATGTGGTGGGTGGGCCCACGAAAACTAAAAATCGGATTCCACAAAGACTTGCTTTTAATTTCTTAATTGACATGTACACCTTGCAACTATCAATAACGATTGTGCATTATTGCATCTTTCATCACAATTGAGATAATTTCTAAGTATTTATTTTTTGCCACCCAAAACCCAAAAGGAATATATTTTTATTTTCTTCCTATACCCTAATATTTTTGGATGATGATTCTTTCCGGATCATTTTTATAAGTATTCTAAGAATAAATTCATTTTATTTGTTAATCGTACATCATGCGGTCAGTTTTCGTTAAGTACTGTTTGTGTTCTATTTTAAATAAAATATTTAAAATAATTTCTGACCGCAAGATGATTGATAAACAAATAAGATGAACTCATTCTTAGGATCCTCACAAAAAAAAATCTGGATAGGATCCTATTCCATACACCAATACCAATGTACCCCCATTTCTTTTCTTTTGACACCCCCTTCCACCTCGACCTCCCTCAAATTCCAAAGGCTTTGTAGTTTGCACCCTTCACTTTGTTGAACAAAAAGACTGCAATGCTGGGGTGGAAAATAATTTGTTTCAAGTTGGAGGGCATTTGAGCAAATTAGGAGCCAAAGGGTGCCCTATGAGGAATGCCTTTTCTTCTTCTTGCTGTGGAAGGAGGTGGAGGCGGCGTGGGCGGGCATATGTCGTGTTGTGAGCCTCCACGCAACTCTTCTCTCCTCCCCATTGCCTCCTCATCCTTCGCCTCTAAGGTAAAGTTTGCATCCCCATTTCTATGTATTCCCGCAAGCTTCACCATTGCCAACCAAAATAACAAAAAATTAAGAAAGATGGTAACTTTTATTTACAAAATTACACTCCATCAACCAATCTAAAAGGGTCGTGATTTTCACATTTCCGTTTTGTGTTTCTGTCCCTTGTTTTTTTCGTGAATTTATTCAATCTAATGATTAGAAAAAAGAAAAACCAGAGAGAACATAGTGCAAAAATCACTTCTCGTAAAAAAAAAATTCCAATTTAATGAATATGATAAAATGTGGTGGCTCATGAGAATGATCATTGTCAGTGGTGGGTAAATGATGGTGATAGTGATGGAAATTAGATAAATGTGGGAATAAATTTATGAGCACAATGTGAAGCGAATCAAGCAAGAGAAAGAGGGTTGTTTTTGAATTTGATTTTTGGAAAAATAAATAAAATAAAATTAATGAAATGCTAACCTTACAGCCGAGTGAGCAGAAACGAACAGGATCCAAGAGGCTTCTGCCACAGAGTTCACAAATGTGGGGAGATCCCTTACTGCCAGCCTTCGGCTGAGGCCTCTCATTCAGAAACATAACTCTGGCGCTGTTTATCACGTATGTCTGAACTCCGTTTATGTCTAATGCCTTCTGCACCTCTGAAACCCTCACCACATCATGGTATGAAGATCTCCTTATCTGCCAAAAACCCACCAAAAAAATTATGAAATTTGAATATCACAACGCCAACAAAAATATGGGGAAATTTTGGTTTTTTGTTTCGAACAATGTGATACCCTAAACCACTCTAATCGAAAAAGGGGATTTGAACTTGGTGGAAGGCGGCAGAGACATTAACCTGACAAACTGGCCTAAGCCGCTTTCTAAAAAAATAAAAAATAAAAAAAATGTTGAGATAGAGGAAGAGGGTTGGTGGAAAAATTAATCAGGATTTTACCTGAATGACTTGGTGATCTTTGTGTCCGGAGGACCTGCAATAAAAGCAGAAAGCGTCTCCGCTGCAATCTAAGCAGAACATATTGCACTCACTTCTGGTGGCGTCTCCATGTGTACGGCAGACTCTGAAGAATGATGTTTTGAGCAACTGCTCCAGCCATGGCGGCACCAGCATTGTCCTGTCCTGTAAGATTTATGAAACCCAAAAAGTAAAATGCATATTGAAACGGGGGAAATTAGAAAAAATGACCAAATGGGGTGCGTTTATCAGAGAGAAAGACAAGAACTTTACCATTGCGAGCAAATCGGTATCTAGAAAAATGTGATGCTTTTGCTTGGCTTGGAACTTTTTGTGAATCCAATGGCCGAAACGGTGAAATTTGCAGGCTCAGAGTACTTGCAGAGGCAAATGCAGAGAGAGAGAGAGAGAGAGAAGGAGAGAGAGGAAAAGCCTAAACGACCTGCAACTTAGACTTCAACAACAAAACAACGCCTAGACTGGGGGACAAGGCTGATAAACTAATGTGGAGAGCGCTTAAGGATTGGACGGCTGAGGATTGGGCGTGGTGGCTGAAGCACAGGGGCAGCCGTCGGATGGATTTGAGAGAGATGGGTAGGTTTGGCGCTTAAGCTAATTTGGATCTTCTTTGCGTCTCCACTTAAGCGAATTAGTTGTTCATCAAGTGTGATCTGGCCCTTATTTCACTACACGTGGCATAATTTACACATGGCTCAACATGGTCGGTCCAATAATTATAGGAATCATCAATTAATTGATGAAGCTTAAGAGGGTAAATAGTGAAGAAAATGATGGTTTTTATAACATTATGAATTTGTTTTCAAGATAGTGCAACATAAATTTCTCGCTTCTAAAATATTTGTATTTGACACTTAGTATTATGGTCCAATAATATTTTTCTTCATTTGTAAGTAAGAGATCTTAGTTTCGATTCTCACCAAAACCGAAATTATTATGGCTAGTCCATTATGAGGCTTAACGACTCCCTACCCCTTATTATACTTCAAAAGATAATCGCACATGTTATGTTGTTCAATTATCAATTTCTTTCGGCAATATTTAAGCAGGATGCAATGGATGTGATTAAGTTTATGCTTTCCAAATATGGTTTTGATAATTACGACAAGTGATCCAGTAAAAAAATACGAATAGTAGCTCCCTAGAGAAAAAAATGAAAAGTTCTGGGTTTACTTTCACGTGTCGTCCAGGTTCTTAAAGAACACGACTCTCAAAAAATATATGATATTTTGGAACATGTTATGTTGATTTATCTCAGAAGGAAAATGCATGGGTGGAACTAGACTATCATATTAAGATAAACAAAGCCATATTAGGAAATTGCACGGGCGTTGCCAAGTAAATGTAGCCATGGCTTGTTGACTATTTAATAAACAAGATTACATTTTTTTTTTTATCCAATAATAAACAAGATTACACTGCTTACGTTTTGGTTGGTCACGGAAGGCTCATTAAATGCATAATTTTAGGTAGGATGACACTTGAGAAAGAATTTTTTTAGATCGTCAACTGCTACATCATATATGATTTTCAAATATGATTTAAAAAAATAAACTTCTTAGCATTTTCCTTTTAGGAAAAATGTCATGTTGAAAGAATTTTTTATAATACGTTGATTACACCAAGAATGAGTTATTTCAAGCCTTGTTTATATATTTATTTTTCAAAATATAGTATGATTATAAAGCTGGCATTATTTGAATGGATTCCAGCACTTGAAAAGAAAATAAGATGGTCGGTAGGAAAGGATTTCTAATTCCCTTTTTATTGTTTTTAATATAAGAGAGGATTTATTTTTTATTTTTTTTATTTTAAAACAAACGATATTATAGGTGTGGGATGAGTCAAGTCTTACAATGAGCTAGTAATATAACGGTTCAAATTTTCCTTTCGCGAGAATCAAACCTAAGACCTCTTACTTACAAGTGAAGAGGAACCACTAAACCATAATACTAAGTAGCAAATAGAGGATTTTTTAATGGGTGGCTTTACTAAGTTAAATTCACAGAGGTAATAAGTTTTATTTTATTTTATTTTTTATTTTTTGGGTCAAATGATAGATTTGTTAGATTAGATGTTATGTTAGAGAGTCAACGAGGTTTGAACCCATGCCATGATGCAAGGATAATACTCCTCCCCACTACTGTGATAGAGGACCACTTATTGGTGGTAACAAGTTCACCTAATCATTGTTTAGAAACTTGTAAAATTGAACAAGTTAACCCAATTCAGTCCACAAATACACACTTATAGAAAACATTAGTAATTGTCTATTGAAAACTTTTAAAATGCTAGGAGCTGACCCAATTCATTCACTCGCATTTATCCATGACTATTTCTGTATTCGTTCAGTGGAAGAGCACCAAACGTTTGAATTAATTGTAACAGCAAGTTAAAACCTATCAAGCTCATTGGGACAACACCAATTAGCACAATACCAATTGCATGGGTTTCTTTCCACCCATCTTGAGAAGATTATAAAAAAATAAGAAAAGTGATCACTTGAATAGTGTTTTGGGGCGACTATTTGCTTGTGTTTTTCTTATTTTGCCCAAGAGTATACGGAAAGAGAAGTTGAGTGGGAATAAGAATAATCTGAGATAATCTTGTTTATCAAAACAAATAAGATAACATAATACTTGATTTCAATGATTAAGTAACTAAAATCCTCCAATTTTAGTGTTATTTTAAATTGGTCTTAACTTTTTTAAATATTTCTTCAAGTATCCAGCCTTTTGAAAAAGTTGCCAAGCATTTGAAAGGAAGAAACGGTACGTATTCTGACTTACTCTGAAAGGCATGGTCTTTGGGTAACTACCCATCCTCAGGGGGAACAAGTCATTTCCAATGCCTAATTAGGAGCAATTGTGGGACTATGGTGTTCCAGGGCCGGAGTAAGATGAATCGGAGTAGAACTACCTTAGAAGTCCGGTCATAGACTCAACAGCCTCCCTTACAGAACTGACTAAACAGATCAATGATGCCACCATCATCCTATTCCAGAATAAGTGGGTGAACTTCGTCAACTTTGTTGAGATAGACTATTCTTGTTTCAAAAGATTCGGGAAACTAATCCAGCAAGGAATCAGCAGGTTTCTTATAAACCTAGGGTCCTTACGTTCTAAGGATTGGTGTGCACTGCAAGTAATCACCTTCAAAAGAGGATGCAATATCTAATTTCTAGATATCCTCATGGATTCTCCCGGTTTAATACGAATTCTACTATTGTAAAAGGTCATCTTCTCGACTGGTATAAATGTGTCATTCTAAGGTTCATCTCTGGTAAAGAATCTCTGCCTACTTATTCTCTTGCCTACTGCTTGAATCTTAATATTTCTTATTAACTTGACCATTGAAGAGCATTTGACCAGCACGCACACACACACACACAACCCCCCCTCCCTCGATCCAAGGCTTACTCATGGTTGTGTGTTCTTTTACAAGTTAATGAATTTGTGCATCTTTGTCACTAACGGTGGTGTGTGAATGTGATTAATCCAACATATAGCTTTCCATTAATGCTTTTTTATTTTTTGGGTCCTTTTGTTTAGGGCTAAAATGAAAAATTTAAGTTTAATTAAAATATGAGTGAACTTAACTTAAAATTGGTTGCCAATAAAGACACCCTTTTTGAATTTCTATCCTAGCTAGTGATCAAACACATTATTAGATTGTTAAGATGTAACGTCTTGATTAGTACTTGCATCACCAGGTGTGTATTGATATATCAATGCCAGACACCACTACATGTAGTAAGTCCTACATATTTAATTTCCTAAGTGTTAGGCGCAGAACAACTAATACACACACACACACACACACACACACACACATACATACATATATATATATATATATATATATATATATATATATATAAAGCCTCTAAAGAAGTGATGCCCATTTTTTAATGAAAATGGGGATTAATTGTTGGACTCACATCACATCGAACTTTAATGATCCGAACCGTCTATTTTTTTAAGTTTCACCTCATAGATCATTCTTGCAAAATACTAGCCAAATCAGATATATTTGATGCATCTAATGGAGTTCAAAGAAATTGACGAATATTTTGTTCTTTAAGAAACAATGAAATTTCAACGTGATAATTAAATAGTCAAATTGTTTTGGATTAAATTGAATCTTTGCAATGATGATCAATGAATTAAGACTTGTAGAGCAGACAGTTCGGATTGTTTGAATTCGACGTGGAGTGTGCTCTAAAAGTCTACAACTAGTCCCTATTTTTACCTAAAAATGGGATTCATTGGGATAAAGGGCCTGATATACCTGTATATACATACATGCATACATACATACATACATACGAGTCTGTTGAAGTTTGATTTTGTTTAGTTAAATAAGCTCGGCAGTTTATTTCGACAATATATTGATGGGGCTCTACTTGGTTAACATTCTTACTAGGTTTGATTCTGGAAATGTCATTAGCCTTTCACGATGAGAGAAGCAGAGATGATATTTGTAATTCTTCATTAGCTCTCATTAGCTTTTAAGGTTATCGGAGCAGACATTTATGATCACATGTATTTTATATTCATGAAATAGTCCAATAGAAAAAAAAAAAGATAAATTATATTTTAACCCTTCAGGTTTGAGATCAATTTCAATTTCTTACAACATCTTTAAAACATTTTAATTTCATACATTTACTTACCATTTTATTTCAATTTCATACATCCGTTAGAAAATGTATTAAGTAAACCGTTAAGTGATGACGTGGCAAATATGTGATCCATATTTGTGTTGACGTGGTTGCCACATTTGTGCCATGTGGTAAAAAAAATAATTTTTATGCATTTAAAATATAATAATATTTACCCTATTAAAATTAAAAAAAAAAAAAAAAAAACACAAACAAACCCATAAACCCCCGACCCACTTCTCCATCTCCTCCCTCTTCACCTCCATCCCTTCTCTCTCCCCATACCCACTCCTCCCTCTTCATCCCCCTACCCCAAGGAACTCGACCCACCACCACCCTAGCCCAATCGGAAAAAAATTCACACCCCTAGCCCAATCGGAAAAAAATTCACACTCTCTTCTTCCCACCCTAAATCTATTGGAATATAAGTGCTTGTGCTAGAGAAATATTAGCATAACTTTTAGCATTTTAGGTTTAAATGTTGGATGATATTCCAATTGGACAGCTAAGATGTAATCTTAGTGATAGTAGTGTGTGTTGCTATTTGTAGCTATCTTATGGGGTAGATTATATGAATGGTGGAGATTGAACTTTGTAAGAGATGATCTCTCTCTCCTCCCAACGGTTTTATTCTTGCACATGCCTTGTGTGCTGAGTGTGAATGAATCAAGTAATTTTTGCTCTGTGTGAATATCCTCTCTACAACTCTCTGAGATTTTCCAGAAATCTTTCATCTCCCTTTTTCGCTTCGCTCCTTACAATAGAGATCATAGTCTCTAGGTTCTAACAAAATCCACCAACATGAACTCGAATCGAGCTCTCCGACCTTGTGCACTAGAAGCTCGCCCACGCAAATGGCTACCATTATTGTCACCATTTGAAAACTC